AAACTGGTAACTAGTTTGGAATTATTAAAAGTAAAGTACCCTTTCAGACCTTGTGATCTATAGGATGATGTAAAGGTCACCTGTTTCTTTGGCCATCTGTTAACTAGGGTGTCATGTGGCCAGCACAGTGACCAACTACCTTTACTTTCCCCAACTACTGTCAGGTACACATTGGAGTTGGATGGGCATCCTAAAAATCTAGAAATTCAAAATCCCAATCTTTATTGAGATTTGAACCCAGGACCCATCAATTTGGAAGTCAAGCGTTTAACCTCTCAGCCACCACACTCCATTGAGAATTCTTATGTATCTGATTATATGAATGAGATGGTAATAAGATGTGTTTGCAATAGTTGTCTTTAAGATTAAAACAGTCAGCACAATGTTCTCCTCTGAATTTTCTTATACAAGAAAAAAAAATTGTTGGAGAACTTTTACTATCCTCAAAGAAAAGTGCACTTGAACTTTATATCTTATTATTATTAAATTTTATAACAGTGCAAAATCTAGACATAGTTTTTTTAATGCTAAACTTGGCTACTCTTGAGTTACTTGGCTAATTGAGTTCTGCAAACAGGAACTGATTACCAGTTGTTTTTCTAAATGAAAGAAGGCTAAAGAAAAGTAACAAAAGTACATTTATATTCTACTCTATATTTTTTCTGCCATAGTATTTTGATAATAAACTTACCAGATATTTAATGACATAATCAATCTAGCTTAATTCCAAAACCAATTAGTCAGTGTTTTTATGCTTTTCAGATGGGAGGTGATAGCAAATTTTATCACTCAACATGTTCCAGGTAACAACAAGAATGCTAAAGATGTTTTATCAAAAGCCAAAGAGCTACAAAAGAATGGTATATACAACACATTAATTCTTTTATTAATTGATTAATGTCTTTATAGAACTTTTAATATTAATGAGAAGAAAATTAGATTGAATTTGTGTTCAATAAATAATTGGATATTTGGAAGTAAATCAATTCTTTCTGACTGAGTAAAGAGAATTTAACTATTGATACAATTGACTATTCGATTGTTTTGGCCTTGACAACATTATTTTAATGTGAGGTAACTGCAGAGTGGGAAACATTTTTCTGACCATAAATATTACCCAGGCTTTCATCTCGTTTACCATAATCCATGTTTTAGCCTTTCCAGACAGGAATTATTTCTAATGTTGAGAATGCATGAAGTAAACAGTGGTTTTGTTTGTTTTTCAGATGTCAAACTGAGAGAAGAAGTGAAAAAAAATGCTTTCAGTCAGTATGAACAAAGTCATAAAGCTGCTAAGTCTGGAGACATGGACAAACCAAGTGAACGATTAGAAAGTAAAGTTTATAGATTTGAACCTTTCTTTAGGTTGGGAGAACTGGGAGTTACGTTGAAAAACCTAGGAAATACAGGCGTGAAGGTGATACAAGTGTATCTCAAATGTTAAAGGGCTTTTGAGCTAAGTCCCTAGACCTAATTACAACAAACAACAAAGTATGAAGTGGATACATTTGTACTGCTTCCAACTTTTGGAAACATTTTTAGTCTTAGAGCCTTTCAGTAGAGAGAAAACACTCTTCAAGCCACAAAATCACCTGCTATGTGTTCTTCATAGTACATTAGTAATTGCACTGGAAATACTGCATTCTTCTGCATTGTCTCGAAGACAAGCCTTATTATTATTATTTGTTTGACTAAAGAAATTGAAGATCTTAAGTATTGTTATTTTATACTGTCAACAAGAAAAATTATTTTTTTTAAGAAAATGAATGTGCATGTTCTGATGCTATGAAAAGTCTTACCTCATTATGTGAAACATACATTTTAATTTAGTGTTGAATATTTGATTTCAAGGGCCATACGATTTTTTGTTCCACTTTCACTTTACTTTGACTATATCAAATGCTGAAACAGTCCCTATTTTAACTAGGAATAATAGTATAATCTTTGAATCAAAGACGGAAGACTCTGAATCAAAACCTCCTCTGCCTCACCAGCTATATCCAAACATGGGAAAATTTTCGGGAGTAAACCCAAAGGAAAAATCAAGAGCTGGTTGGCTTTTATGCAGCTTGGAGCACCCTGGCAGAATTGCTGTATCACTGATTTTAAACTGTATTGGGGACTTGTTTTTCCTATGAGTAGAAGGGAAGAACTACTTTGTGGGCTACACCTTCCTGACCATGAATAATGCCTAGGTGTTCATCTCATTTTTATTGATGAACCATAGTCACGACTGAAGGAGGCAAATGAAGTTCTAATTGGCTGTGTGATGATAAACAGTTATAGTATTGTAAATGTGGCAAATGATTTTTGTTTCTTAATTATTTTGTTGATTGTTTCTGCATTTTTCTTTCCAATATATTTGTATGTAGTAACAAATGATTTCTTGTTTTAAAAAGGTGTAGGGGAGCAGCAGGTAAGAGAAACTGGAACCAATCCAGCACCCTGGACAGCAGATGAGCAAAAGCTCTTGGAACAGGCACTGAAATCTTTCCCTGCCTCTGAAGCTGATCGCTGGGATAAAATAGCCTCTGTGGTGTCTTCGAGAAGCAAAAAAGATTGCATGAAACGCTACAAGGTAAATCATTTTCTTATTTTTGGGAATGAATACATCCCATTTTGAAAAAAAAAAAAAATTATATTCTCTTGTATGTTTAAATGGCTTAAAAAAATTAAATTAATGAGTTGTCAATTAAAATTATATATCAACTGCAGCATATTTCATTAGTAATAATGAATCATTTTCTCTAAGGAACTGTGTGAACTCGTCAAGGCTAAGAAGCAAGCACAGACTGCAGTTGCTGCCAAGAATAAAAAATCCTGATTAAAATTATTTTGGTTTAATAAATACTTTTCTTTTTTTATTTCCAACAATCAAACCTTGTTCTCATTTATTTATAACATGCTTTCATGCATTAGTTGCTATTACAGACCTCTATATTGTAATATTTAGTTTTAAGGCATCTCTTTTGACTGTTCTAGTATTTGTACTTGCAAAAAATAGGGAAAAAAAAGGAGTAGCAGAGAAAAAAGTAAAAGCTTACAGATGAACATTACAGGCTCAGGTCACACCAGCCATATGAGCAAGCACTAAATGCAAAGCCTTCAGCACACTGATTGACGTAAGTGATCATATCATGAACTTATACTGAATAAAATGAAGGGGCATCTGCATCATTTTTGTACCAATAGCAATGTAAGTTATTCAGCTGATTGCACCCCTCTTGCACACACTGAGCAGTTTAACTTGACATCAATGAATTCCCTGAGGCTGCTGCTGTCTTGTCTATCTCTCCCCCCCCACCCTTCCAAAATCATTAGAAATTTGCTACATGTTTTGCCATTAGATTATCACAATTATTGGAAAGTCTTCAAACTTATCTATAAACAAAAATAAAAACAGTGAAACTGCTTGTATAATTAATTTATTGTATGTCAGACATTGTAACATTTTGAGGACAATGCTAAAATACATTCAATTTGAATTTAAATTACGTTTTCTTTTGAATAATTCAGAATTCCTGAACAATTCAATAATTTACTGACAATAAAGATAAAAGCAAGTCATTTGTGTAATGTAGAAAGTGAAACGAGACAATAAGCAAACAAAAGATTTCTCAAATTTTAAATCAATTTCATCATGCAACTAAAAAAATGTTGCACTGCAATTTACCTTAAAAGATCAGCGGAAGTTGTTAACATTGACAGCTAGAAATGAAAATGTACAAATGTCAGACACTCTAGAAGACGTAAAGCATTTCGCAAGTACTTTTTGTTTAACATAAAAAAATATATAAACTATCAGTTATGTATTGTTTTTAACACATGCCTCCTTTTTTCCCAACAAAATGAAATAATCAGGAAGTGAATTTAAGTTGCAGAAAATGACAACACAAACATTTTAAAACTATATAGCAAAGTCACTTTTAAGTAATATAAACTACTTTCATTAATACATGACTTTTTTTTTGATAAATGCAATATCAACATTAAAACCATAATCACACTTTTCACTGAATGTTTGGTACTCTCCAGAAACCATGTTATGCTTAAATGCTCATTATGAAATACTTTCATGGGTTTAAAAGTTGCCGTTTTATTAGCCATCTCTGGAGCAGGTTTATCACAGGTGGTAATCATTCTATTTGTTATAAGCCATCTTTTAATTTAAATCCATAAGTGTATGCAGATCACAGCTTAGTTCCATTGTAGTATATCACTTATTTATTAGTGAATCATCTAGTCACCATTAATTGGTCCCTACTGATAGTAATATCAAACACAATGAATTGTCTCAGTGGTACTATATCACTCTCCTGTGTGATGTTAGTATCAACTATGTACCACAACACAAAAAAATGACTAATCAAACGACTAATACATCCCAATCCACAGACACATAAGACTGTAAATAAACAAACCTTCCTGGCTAAGAACATTAACCACAACAAGAACAAACCTTGATTAGAATCTCTCCATAACACTGATCAAATATGGACACATTTACTTGCCAATAGGGATTCCAATAAGGAGCACAAGTCCAAATTAGGCTGACAAAGAATTACAAAACCTCTAAGACTTCATCTATTCAAGTAGCTCTAGCAACACAATGGTGATCTACAGATATGGAGAAAACATTTTAATGTCAAAAACCTATGTACAAACAAAAAGGTCAGATGAGATTCAACACCTACAGACTGCTAAAAAATAAACATAATAATGGGTACAAGTAAAATTGATTTCATAACTTCAACCAGTATAATAACTGAAGATTTGTTCAATTTTATTACTTTTACTATTACTTTTTTTTTTTTCATCATTATGCACAAGTAGTCACATTGGTGGAGATTTCTGTTATATTATCTTTTCCACACAGAAATGCTGAGAGATCATTTTCCCTGGATTTTGAAATGGAACCCCAATGCAAGTTAGAAAATGTATATCTAATATTACAAACAGTACATAGAACAATTTGTTAGAATGCTGAACTTTAAGATGTTGAAAACGAAGTGAGAATTATTTGTTCTATGTCTTTCATAAGATTGAGATTAGAGCATGCATAGCTTAAAATTGTTAACCTTTCCTTATATTAATGCTAATAATATAGCTTGTTGAGGACCAATCAGTCTAGCTTTAGGTGTCTAAAAGTAAGAACAATTGACAATATATAACATAGTTTCACTCTACTGTACACACTGATACAGGTACATACAATCTTCACGTTTTTTCTTTAATCATTTATAAAAGAACACATTAGTCTCAATAATTTCATTATGGCTAAAGAAGGACAATTTTCAAACTGACCAATTCTTAGTAAACATTCTAAGATGATGGTTACAGAAAAAAAAAAAAGCCCTGTAGAATGGCAGTGGATGATAGCAGGTAAACTTCAACCTCATGAAACACAATGAAGACTTTCCAGAGTTTATACCTCACAGACAAGAAGCCTTTCTTGCCAGTCTATATATATATATATATATATATACACACCGGTGTATATATATGTATACTTAAATTTTAAGCAGAAAAATGTATTGGAAAATCAATTTGTAGTTCTTCAAAGCTTACTGAAATACCAAATTTTATTATGTTGAAAGGTGTAAAACAATTTTTAGCTTTTCATTTGATAAGTAGATTTCTTCTCATTGACTGTCGACATGACCATTAACACACTACATTACACTAAAAAAACAACAACCTCAGGCCTGACCATTTAAATGGAAAGGATTAGGAAGGATAAGGATAAACCTAAAGATATATTGTCTACTGGTACATAAGTGGATATACAGGACTCTTACAAGGTCCATTATAAATGAACACAATTTATGATTCTATCACAGTTTAAATGCTATGATTTTTTTTTTGCTATATGGACAATAGTCAATTCAAAATATATATGTTCTTTTAATACTGAGATGTATGTTATGTGTTACAGAACAGATATCTCAAAACAAATTAATAATGTTTCAAACTCCCCCTCATACATCACTACATGTTCTATGACAGAACATTATCAACTGTCCCACAAAATCACAATATTCAATAAAATAGAAAATGTTTGAAATATGTATAAATATTACTATATATGTAAACAAACAAACAATTGAAAAAGCAGTAGTAATTCCTTCCAAGTTCATTTCACCAATTTGATACCTTTAACTAAGATATCAATGACAATCAACTTGTTATACAATTTGTAAATCTCCAAGACCAAAGAGAGAGACGAGATTTCATCAATGAACACAGTTGTACAGCACACTGGAAATGTGACGAGTATCAGGCAATAAATACATTCAAACCTTCTTCATACAATTTTACTTAGCAAAAGTTTCGTAAAAAGATAATTTGATTCTCTCGATGAGGTGACACAGTTTGATTGCAGGGCCTAGCTTAATGCCCATGTACTCCTGCACATTGGGGAGAGTTAGCAGCAACAGGGCTTGACCATCAATCTCCTGAAAGATATACATATATTTATTTAAGTATACAATTAAACAGCAAAGCAAAAGAAAAAGTTTTTTAAAAAATAAAAGTTAATATTTATTTATTTAAAGAGATGGGAGGAAGTCATTAAGTCTTGATCTGCAATGCTGCCACTTGAACTTCAACAAATGGGACCTGGTAGCCAAGAGACAGAACTGCTTGGTTTATCAAGTTTAAATTCTGATTCCATCCTACTCTAATGGGGTAACTGTTAACGATAAGGAGGTCAAGAATCATTAACCTGACCACATGCATGTAATAAGTGGTCATAAAGAAAATAGTATTTCTTCCCATCGTATATTTCTCTAATTGTCATTTATTAACATCAATTAAACTTTGCAATCTATTGCTTCTATAAACAGTTATTGCCACATTTGTAATGTAATTTACCTCTGTTCTGAGTCGAGCAACAAGTTCTCTGTCAGCACAGTCAGTTGTCTGAAGGAACTCTCCCACTTCCGAGACAGACCACTCCAAGGGATTCTTCATAAGTTTGAGTGGTTGTTCAGATTTGATATTGATGGGAGCCTCAGCTCTGACAGTTGAGAAGTTGCTTTCATGACAAGACTTGGCAACTCTAGAAGTTTTAATAATCTGTGGACACAAACTTGAGATAAAAGTTTGTTTTAACAAAGTCTTTCACATACATATCCCACTAAGATAGAGATTACTTGCATTCAGACTACAATTGTACTTTAACTTAACATTGTATATTAGAAAGCTTAATATGTTAAGTGTGACTGCTATATACTATATTATACACTCTATACCTCTTTATGGGATTTGATGCTCTGCTGTGATTCTTCAACTATCAAAATTTTTTTGTGAGTTCTTTTCTCAAAACTGTACTTGGGCAGCTTGGCTCCTCTGGTCCTGATCTCACTAGGAGGAGGTATGTGGTGAGTATACCGCCTCTTCAAACCACAATACCCACTCTGTAATGGCTTCACCTCTCTCACTTCTTTAGACCCTGATGTACTGCTGCTATCCACTGTTTTAGAATCACTACAGTTACTTGCCTTCAAAATAGAATCCAATTTGAGATACATTAGTACTTAAGGCTATGTAAATTTGGTAAAAAAAATAAAATAAATACCATGCACAAATATTTGAAAAAAAAAAATGGTAAAGTTCATCTGCTTTTATGACTTTTTTATTATCTTGTATGACCAGCATTATTACTTCTGCCTTTATTCTTCCCATTAAATGTCAAATACACATTAAAGCTTGATCAGGAGACCCAAAATGCTGAAATAATCTACTAGCATCCCTATTCAAATCAAAGTTGAACAGCCTGAATGAATCTTTAGCACTAAGCAACTATAAAAAGAAAACAAAAAAAAACAAAACCTTTACTTATAAAAAAATTTCCATCATTATATTTAGGGCAATGAATGAATTTAAATGAACATTTCTTTGAAATAGCAATTATTTATATTTAGCTTACTTTGTCATCCTTGCCAGCATGACTGTTCAAGAAGCCATTTTTCTTCTTTCGTTTGCCTACTTTCTTTTGTCCATCCTCTACATTGCTAAACCCCACAGGAGGTCGTCCAAGTTTTTTCTTTTTCTTACCATAATAATAGGCTTTTATGTGAACAGAGAAAAAAGTATCATTAGAAAAACATAGACAAAGTTGATATATAACAGTGCAAAATTTTTACAATGTCATTGGACAAAGTGTTAAAAAAAATAAAATGCCATATTACTTACTATATTTAGTTTTCGTCAACTGGTCACAATTCTGAGGACATCGTCCGTTGACAAAATGAGGGCTGATAAGATAAGGACAACATTGTAGCTTAATACAAACTTGTTGACAGAAGTCTTCCAACTGATTAGCACTTCGACATATCTCCACAACTGCTCTATAACTTTTACCTTTGTATCTACACAAGGAGAAACAGATTTTACAGTTCAACATACCTGCTACAAAAGATTCCACAAAGAAAATAATAAAAAAAAAACAACATAATTTACATCTTACTTTGCTTTCAACATTTGTTGAGAAAAATTAGGGTTAGGTCTGCCATCCAGCTGTAGCTCCTTCAACACCTTACATGATTTGTAAGCAGTGTTAATGAGCATACTGAGCACCTCCTTCATGACTAGAGTAACTGGTCCAGGGCCCACACTTCTAGGCAGTCCAGCAATACGGCCTTTGCTTAAATAGGGACCAGAGAAACACCGATGGTTGAAGTATATTTGGGGTCCACCAAATAGCTCTAGAGAAACAAAATATAAGTGAATAAAATGGAGTATTTTTGTCTAAATTAATGAATGCAAAATTCCATATACAAAATGTAAAAAAAAAAAAGTCATGATATATATATATATATATATATATATATATATATATATATAAGATTTTTTAAAATAAAAAGGTAACAATTATGTTAGAAGCTACAGCATACCTCTGTGTACATGACTTTCTGTGCTATGAATTTCAGTCATTCTGTTGAAAACAAAGAATAAAATCTTAAAAAAAAAAAAACAACAACCAAAAACTTCTTAGCACCTAATATTTTTACATACAGACCAAAAAGGAACCTTACTTCAAATTTACAAAACAATTACATTACTTACTCAGGTTGAACTACAGCTATTTGCTTTTTGAAAGGTGTGCTGATGATTCGCCCTGGAGATTTCAGTTGATATCCATTACTGACACACCAGCCAATGGGAAACAAATTGAAAGAGCTAACAGTCTCCACATGACTGTCCATCATTTTCTTGCTGCTGTCAAAGTGTATCCACATCAAGCGGTCCACTATTTTGGTAATTGTGGCTGCATAGAGCTGAGATGGAAGACTAGGCTTCACTGCTTCCAGCTTCATACCACATTCAAATTCATGCTCTGGTACTTCCTACAAATATTTAGTTGAATGAAATAACAACATTAGAAATCAAATATTTAAGTTTATATTCCTCTCATAAAAAAAAACATTTGAATTTAACAAGAGCCTTACCAAATCAAAAAGACTTTCTGGTGCTGCAGTTGCATTACATCTTAATAGATAGTCTGACCATTTAAATTCAGGTGAACTCCAGCCTATAAATGAATGTATAACTAATATACTTTCCTAACATGACTTTAATGAAGGGACATGTTATGTTAATATAAACAGATTCTAATCTAATTATTTTCGTATGCATAAATATATTTATACTTTTTACATTTGTACAACATTTGCAAAATAAATTTGAGGAAAGGAAATGAAAAAGTATACAAGTCACTTTAAAAAATCTCACCTTTAGGACAGGTTAGCTTAATGCCTTTACTTGCTGCCCAGTTGACTGGGAAAATAGTTTGAGTATTTTTATGGCATGCAAAGCGAGTCTTTTTGTCAGGCTCCATATTTCTGGTTTCATCAATCTCTACAATGAAGTATTTAGCATCAACAACTTCCACTATAGTAGCTGGACAAATGTTGTTTTGATTAACCGGGTCAATGGCTTCCAGCTTCATGCCAGGCTGAAAACTGTGACACACTATCTCAGCTTGATCCTATTGAAGGACAATATTTGCTAGTAAAAAATGAAGATTTACTTTGATATTGAACAGACACTAAGATATTGATGGGATTAATCTGACAAATAATTTGGAACACTGAAAGTTAGCCCAATGGCCTTAAGTAAACATTTTGAGAGATCAAGATTTGTATCCAGGAATGTTGATCTTGGCCTAATATTGATTAGTTCATCCAGTTCCACTAAGCAACCAGGCTTTAGATGAATGGAAAAAGACAAAAATGCATGCCACACAACAGCATAATTCTTGGAAAAGCAACTGGTGAAATGGTCAACTAATACTAAATATAGTCAGGTCTAAAAGGGTAAAAAAAATATTTTTTTTTGTTTATTAAAAAATGAATACTTTAAAAAAGAAAAGCAGTAGAATATGAACCCTATACATTAACATTAGTTAAAATGGATAAAACACACTTACATTAAAGATGTCTGCTGGTAAATTCTGTCTACTATTATCATTTATCACATTACT